ATGCTGATTAAATCACTTGCAGTAAATGCTGCTTCTTGAGGTTTACAAGTTTTAGTTTCCTTTAGAATCAGCTGGTCCCCTGAACACTGGCCCTGATATCCTGTTTTAGGGTGGCTCCTTTCCCTTGCAGGGTCCTACGGAGCCACCCTTGTATGTGCTAGTAAGCCGTGTGTCTCCCTAAAAAAAAAAAAACACAGGCAAGGCAAGGCAATTAACTCTTCTCCTCCTCCCTTCTCCAAGCTAGTGGATGGACAGCTGCTGGAGACTGCGCCATCCTTTGTGATCTTTTCTTGAACAGGAATATCAGGGGAGCGGAGCTGAGAGAGTTGGAGCCAGCTGCTTGTATACATGGTGCTTTGTTAAAATTTTAAGAAATGCTTTGCTGGGCAATGCATATTTGTTTGATCTGGATTAACTTTTGGAAAGAAAATTTGAGATTTTAATATTAATTTAAATACCACCAAAAGAAAGCTCCATCTATCTCAAGCAAATTATACAGTCGTGGCCAAAAGTTTTGAGACTGACACAAATATTAATTTTCGCAAAGTCTGCTGCTTCAGTTTGTATGATGGCAATTTACATATACTCCAGAACATTATGAAGAGTGATCAGATCAATTGCAATTAATTGCAAAGTCCCTCTTTGCCATGAAAATGAACTTAATCTTCAAAGAAACATTTCAACTGCATTTCAGCCGTGCCACAAAAGGACCAGATGACATGTCAGTGATTCTCTCGTTAACACAGGTGTCAGTGTTGACGAGGACAAGGCTGGAGACCACTCTGTCATGCTGACTGAGTTAGGGTCCCCACACACCTTACGATTATCGTACGATAATCGCGCACGGGAAATCCCGCGATCGTACGATGATCGTAAGGTGTGTGGAAGCCGTGCGACCTCTACTACTGTAAGGTCGCACGACTTTAAACTTACGGACATGTTTGAAAACCCACCGAGCATCGTACGCTCACATTCCGATCATCTCCCTGCAGAGTCACGGCTCCCTGCAGGGATTTGCCCCCTCCCCGCTCCAATCCTCCAGCACTGACTGGATGAACGAACGGGGGCAGGTACAGCGGGCTCTGTCTCTAGATAGGCAGAGCCTGCTGTCACTCACGCAGCCTGGTGGATCTCGACAGTAATGTCTGGATCCGCTCCGGCTGCGGCAGTCTCAGTAAACCCCGAGCTGTAGCTCACGATATACTGAGCTTTGGGTCACGGGAGGATGCTAGTATATGTCCTCCCGTGACCCTTGAGAGGTATGGTGAAAAACACTTACCCCATAGTTCTCTTTTAATGTAATTGTCAATAAAAGCCTTTGACAATTTTGAAATGCATGTAATTATACTTCAGTATATCATAGTAACATCTGACAAGAAGATCTTGAAACACTGAAGCAGCAGACTTTGTCAAAATGAATATTTGTGTAATTCTCAAAACTTTTGGCCACGACTGAATATTCATGAATATTCATTTGAGTACAGTGTTACACGACCGAGTAATTGTCAGTCAACCTATCCCAGTGCTGAAAACGGAAAAATTACTTGGTAATGAAGGAGCTGAAGTGGCAACAACCACTGTCTGTAGTTTTGTAGAGAGGAAGCCTGCACAACATAACTACATGAAAGGGAACTTCCGTGTTTCCGAAAGAGCATAGAAAATGCCTGCCTAATCTGGATGTAACTGGTTATATTCAGGTTAAAGTGACACTAAACTTAGGAGTTAAGGATTAAAAATGCATTCAAGTACCTTAACCATTAACAAAAATGTATCTTATGTTCATTCATGCTGACACTTTCCTTCCACTTAGAGGGTGACTACTTTTATTCCCCATGGTCCCTATGTGTGTTGTAAAGTAGCCACCGCTCCAAGCTCACTCCTGTGATGGACTACAAACTCACGCTTAGTTTACTAATTTGTAGTGAAATTGTAGTCCATCAAGGGAGTGAGCTTGGAGTGGTGGCTACTTTACAACACACACAGGGACCCTGGGGAACAAAAGTAGCCACCCTCCAGAAGGAAGGACAGTGTCTGCACCAATTCAGAGATGATTCGAGGATCTACAGCACAGTAATAACAAAAATGTATCTTATTTGTGTAATAGTTAGAGTACTTGAATGTATTTTTAAGATTTAACGCCTGAGTTTAGCATCACTTGGAAGTAAATGAGATGGACTTTTCCACTATCGCAGTTGTCAAGTTCCCTGGAAAGCGTTAGCAGCTCATCAACTGTTTTTACTTATTGCCTGGAATTGCTCTGAACCATCTTCTCATACAGGGCGCTCTCTCTCTCCCTGACCACAGGGGAACTTGTGTTCTTTTGAGAAACATACTGTCCTTTTGACACCAAGTAAAGCATAAATAGAAGGATACAGACAGACTGGTGCCCAAAATACAAGAATCTGTGTGTCAGAAGACAAAAGGAAAAAGATATATAAAGTACTTCACAGTGCTAACATATGTTCTAGAGGAGCATGTAAAACTTCAAAAAGTACTTTGAAAGGCAGTTTTGTAGACATTTTACATGTTTAATATGAAGCTGTTGCGGCAGAAGGAGAAACAGCAGTTACTTTACAGATGTATAAGAAAAATAAGGCCAAACAGGACTGAATCAGATCGTTATTGCCTTTATTAGCCATCTGGTGATGAGGTGCAAGGAAATTCAGCTGACACTTTTATGGTTCATCAATTATTTGCAGCAGAGGAAGCTTTATGGCCCTACATATCAACATTAAAGCTTACAAACTGAGATTTGCCAAGTCCTTGCATTGACTGCAAAAATGGCTTTAGGAAATATCACCATTTCATACTTGGGATGTTGGACTCCCCCTGCTGGTCACTGTAAAGTAATGCCACCTTGCCATTTGATGCAACATTTCCTACACTGTTAAAACTAACTCAGATGTTTTTGTAGCATTCACTAAAAAACAAAAAGTTTAAGTTACTAGAAAAAAAAATGTGCTGCAGACTAAGGAATAACATTCACACTGATGCCAGCAATGCTTATGGGTTTTGAGCTGGCTACCTAATCACCGCTCATGATATCCAGCACAGCTTCTGATGCTCAGGTCACATCAGCAATTTGCATTTACAGAGACAAGTGTTGTAACCAAACACAGCGATCCAATTACTATCTACAGATTGTCATAAACATTACAGACAGCTGCTTCAGAGGTTTGCTACACAATAACCTGTCATTATTGGCCCTTAGAACAGTATGAATAAAGCTAGGAAACTTTTGCACAAAAAAAAAAAAAAAAAAATGTCATTCCTTCTGGAAATGTTAACTCCCTGACAGTCAGGCCTCAGTACTTTCTGAGTTCATTGATCGGACACAAGTAAGCAGCTAATGAAGCAAAGGAAATTCAGGACACGTGATGTGTATACTTGTTCTAGGTCAGTGACTCAAAGTGTTGAAGCCGTTGGAATAAAATTACAGTCAGGCAACTAATGTTTTTAGAAGGAAAGCCAAAAGCAGTTTTACTTTAGAAAGCTAAGGAGATAGAACAAATAGATAGAACAAACAAAATCTAAATTGGCCTCACCAGCTTTTAAATCTTCCTCTGCTGCATCAGAAAGTGATCTTATACACAGTTCAGAGATGCTGCTTACATACAGCGTTTTGCAAAGTAGAGAAGCCTGACACAATAATAGGGGTAGTCTTCAAAACTGGAAGATGGGAAAACTGGGGATACTGCTCTTGCAACCCTTCATTCCTTAAATTAAATTAAATGAGTTCTATGTATCGTACTGGGGGGTTCCCAATGAAAATTCGCTGGGAAACTGGCAATCATAAAGCTACTCCCAGAAATCTAATATTTGGTCATCCATCCACATACCAGGAACAAAATATCTTGACTTTACCACCAACTATAGAGCAAAAGTAAGCAATTTAATTTTTAAAAGACACCAAGAACTGACAATATACATTCTTGGGCCACCAAAAACAGACAACATTTTAACACTGGGCATTTAGGACTGTCAATATACCGTATTGTGCGCTCCATAAGGCGCACCGGTATATAGAACGGAGGCAGTTTCTGTGACAGAAGCTGCAGTAAGCGACTGCTGAGACAGGTGGAGCTGTGATTACAGCGCCACGGTCTCAGTGATCACACCAGGCAGACGAAGAACAAACGTTCTTCGTCTGCTCTGGGGGCTCTATGGTGAGCTTCTATCCTGTGGTCACGGGTCCCCCAGAGGATCCGAAAACCACTGCGGGGGGGAGGCGTGCCGCCTCCGCTCAGTTTTAATACAAGTGATCTGAATAGATCACTTGTATTAAACAAGCAGCGGCTTCCACTGTACGTTTAGCTCTGCTTTGGCAGGGCTAAATGTACAATAAACTAGGGATTCGCTCCATAAGACGCACACACATTTTCCCCCGCCTTTTGGGGGGAAAAAGTGCGTCTTATGGATCGAAAAATACGGTACTTCTAATGAGCAAACCCTACCATCCAGATTTTGATTTTTAAAACTAGTCCACCAATTGGTGACATAAATATCATAAAATTTACACGAGGCAAAGCCTAAAATTGCGACACCTCCAATTAGACAAATACTAACAACTGCATTCTCTTCCCATGTCTAGTTGGGAATGCTCCTTGGTGTTTTATTAACATCCATATCTGAGGTAGTAATGGCGAATAATGGGTATTTGTTTACATCGCATCTGAACACATCGCAACCAACTTAACATAACAGAAGCGTACAAGCTGCCATGACTGACTTGTTTTTAAAGCTGCAAGTTCTGGGGCTATCTTCTGTCTTCTTCCCTCACTACCTTTTAGTCAAAGATAGAGAACAAGCATGTGTCTTGACACCTAAAATGTTCATGCTAAGGTTCCTTTCAAAGTTCGGTAATTTGTGAGATGTACTCGAATTGGACTTCTTAGAAATGATATGGAGTCTTTCATATAGAGTCTTATATCTCATTAGAAGTGGAAGAAAATGCTTGGCTGCCAGATAAAATGGTCATAATCTCTTATTTGTTGAATTACCATTTCTTGTAAAAGTTCAACGACCTGCTGAATACAGTCATTTACATCACATGAATCAGTTTTCAATACCAGCTCTGGGCCCTCAGGCTTCTCATAATCAGCATCAATCCCAGTGAAACCTAGAAGACAGATTTCATGTACACAATTATAGGAAATTCCAAGCCTAAATATAAATCCTACGAACATATGAAAAATGTATTATAGAAGACAAGTAATGAGAGACTTGGAAGAGGTATGGGGGCTGCTTTTTCTGACAACACTAGCTGTCTCAGACCTTCGGAACAAGACCCATGTCTCGGAACATGAACACAGAAAAAGAAATCTGTTGATCAGCAACTTGTTCCATGGAAGCTATGCAGAAAGCACTGAAGCCTAAGAGCAAGCTTGACAGCCATAATTCTTCATAGAACAACATCAATGGCAGCCCCCATTCTCTTTAAAAGACAGTTTTACATTGCAAGTCACAAATGAAAGTGCATGTTATAGAACATTTTTACATGTTTGATCACTTATGTGTTCGTGTTTTGGCAATTCAGAAGTCATTCTAACCTCCGCTGCAAGTTATTGTTTTATCCATGTAATGCTCTGGACTAAAAATACCAGAGACGTAAAGCTTATCCCAAGGATGAGCATTACAATCCACCAGGGGCTTCATCTAAGATAGGGAAAATAAACCATAAACCATCTTTAATGTTCGAGTAAGAAAAGAGGGTGAGGAGTAGCTTGTAGTCACTACTGCTTACCTTTACACTGTCTGTGGTGATCAACCTTCTTAAAAATCTTGCTCCAAGCACTTCCATTTCATTCTCCTTTAACTCCCCCTGACTGTACCCAGCATCAGATAGGATACAGTCACATCAAAAAGGAGCAAATAAAACCAAAAGGCAGAACTTTTTAAATGGGGGATCAACGATCACAAGAAGGGGTGAAAGAATGTCCGTAATTATAACATACTGGCCTCACCTTGCAAACAGAAATGTATTCTTTGGAATTTACAGCGATTGCTCAGCAGCTGCTTAAGCCAGCGATAAAAAAAAAAGACCAGCTACATTAAACACTGATCCCTTCAGTAGCCAGTGCTAATATATTTCCGATCTGATGAACAACTTCTGTTTTTAAAGCAAAAATTGTTAGACAGTGTAATTCATTTTTTTTCATAGGCTAGCTAAAAAGGTGGATACTGCTGCTGAATGTGACAAATACAAATTATTCTTGCCATCGTTTGCTTTATATTGGGGAATAGCCAATACACTAGCTCTGAGGAAACGCGTCAGCTGGTCGGTCTTCTTTGGGACCTGCTTGTCATTCCATTGCCTTTTTTATGCACCTCCATGTGAGTAGAATTTTATGGCCTTCATTTCTATATTTAAATAAACATTTCTACACTAGGAGAGGGCACCGTCTGTTCTTTTGTTTTACATGATATGTGAGGAAACTTCCTGGTGGTCTTGAGGACGGCAGCCCCTTCACCCTTACGTTAGAAGAAAACCTTCATGCTGAGCGCTGTGGCATACACATTTTCCTGCAATAGCCAACACACAATCCAATGTTTGGTAATGACAATTGTGGAGTCTGTGCCACTCCACCATAACCTACTGATAGACAGCATAGCATAGAATAGAGAGGGTAAAACCTCTTCTGCAGATGGATGCTGGGTTTGGGTCAGACCAGTTTGCATGAACATGGGTAATGGCCACATGGGTATTTTTTTATTTATTTATTTTAATTCTTCTACATATATAGACAAAGAGACCACTTAAATTATGTGGGGTTTATTCTTTTAAAACAATGATTATTAAATACACTTAGGTCAATTTATACAATTTATTTACATTTATTTTTTCTTTCACCATACCACCCAATAAGTATTAAAAGGAGGAGAACTATGGGATGTGTGAAAATACAGTCACCCCCATAATTAGAGCCGATCTGTGACACTGAAGCTGTCACACGTTGGCTCTGTAGATCGAGAACGGAGTGATCACATACCGCTGATCACTCTCCAATATCCTCCCTGCAGACAGCGGTGACGGTCAGTCACTGCTCCCCACAGGGATTCTCCCCTCGAGGGGGGGCAGGCTCTAGATAGGCAGAGACAGCTATCAATCAGGTAGCGGGGTGGATCTCGACAATATTGTTGTGATCTTTCCCAGCTGCAGTGTGGCTCTGCGCTGTCAGCATATAGCGGGCAATAGCCTGCTATATGCTGAGTTATGGGTCACAGGAGGACATAGTAAATGTCCTCCTGTGACCCCAAAAAGAACTGACAAAAAAAAGGTTGGGCCATAGTTCTCTTTTAAATTATTCTTTTATTAGCCTTAGGTTGGGCAACATATAGCATCTATTTTTTTATACAAATTAAATCTTTCTTATTAATATGTAAAACATTGTCAAAAATTCAGTAAGCAAACATACCTTGAACTGCTGCAAATAGGGGAGGAAAGAGATAAAAATCTATTTCCATACCATTAGTTACAGTAATAATGTAATATCGTTAACCTACGTCCTACGCCCGACGAACGCTCTACAAAACGGTCAAAAATATAAATTGCATTGTAGTCAATGCCCTCGTTCCCACCTTGCCGTATTTCCGCCCGTCCCTAACGCCCTACAAAACGGCCCACGCCTGAAAAGGTCCCAGGACTACTTTGGGCCGTTTTGTAGGGCGTTTTCCATTGGGATACAGCCAAGTAGCCTTCGGGGTCGCGCAGTTATTTACAGACACGCATATTACAATACGCCTAGGTGTGAATGGGGGCTTATATAGGGGGATAACAATCCCACTATATAATAGCAAAGGCACACTGACAGGTCCTCTTTATGGAGACATTAGGGCTCTCTAGGACCCCTAATGTCACCTGTGGACCCCAAAAGAAGCTGATGAAGCAGAGATCTGCTTCATCAGCTTCTTTTCTCTGGCATCCAGATGACTGACAGGTGAATGCGGAAGTGATGTAATACACATCACTTCTGCATTCACAGCCCGGAGGGAGATCAGCAAGGAGCTGATCTCCCGTCCTCTTCCTCCTGACGCCCTCCGAGCCGCAGATGGGGCAGCGGATCCCGGGATTGAAGGTGAGGGGGTCGGGGGGGCAAAAAACCGGCGGCGGCGAAAAAACGAGCACATAGACGATCGGCGGGCTATTGGTCGGGTCTTTTCTGCCCGTGCGTGCCCACTAGGGGGCGCGCGCGAGCAGAAAAAAAATGCCGTCTGGAGACGGCAACCCGCCAATGCTGCAGTGTCGTCCGTCCGTTTTTTTAACAGCGGGCGGCAAGTGGTTAAACTACACTGCTGGATAAGCCTAAATGTAATAGGCCAGTGTTAAATATACTCAGAGAGCAATACATATTTTCCAACATAACACACTTACAAATAAGAAAGCATCCATTTAAGTACCATTAATAGAGCAACATAATGTGGCTTGCAGGAAATCAGGTGAAATGAATATCTGAATAAAGGCTTACCTTTGATTTCCCCAGCTCTTGCCATTTTATAGAGGCCTTTGACATCTCGCTGCTCACAAACATACAAAGGAGCATCCACAAACACTTCATAAAATGGAAGACTAGCGGCCTCGTGAATTTGCCGTGCATTGTTACGATCCTAGAAAAAGAAGGAACAGTGTTCATCTGGAATTATTTTATCTTCTGCATTATATATTTTATAAGTATTAGAAAATCACTGGAAAACAATGATATACATGTGTTTCAAAGATAACACACAGATGCAGTTTGCACTTTATTTTGGCCAGTCATCCACCACCCACTTCAAGGTACCAGCGGGAGAATTCTGATTAGATGTAATAGCATGTGATATCACTACAAAATAATTCATGAAAAAAGCAGAGGAAAACAATGGAGATTGCTAGAATGAGATCATTGAGAGCTCACACATCATTCTAGAAGTGCATACCTTCAGTTTATTTAAAGTGTATTTCCACTTTCGCAGCCAAAATGGCTATTTTATATTTGCTTAGATTCTCCAAAATACACCCCTTCCTCACTCATGAAACCAAGCTACTCATACACTCACTTGTTATCTCATGTCTTAACTATTGCAACTCCCTCCTCATTGGCCTACCTCTACAAAGGCTATCCCCCCTTCAGTCTATCATGAATGCAGCTGCTAGACTCATCCACCTAACCAACCGCTCAGTGTTTGCAACCCCCCTCTGCCTATCCCTAAACCGGCTTCCACTCGCCCAAAGGATAAAATTCAAAATATTAACAATTAGGGCTGTGCAAATTAACGATTCATTTCTCGATTAATAATGTTTTGATCGATTAAAACATTTTTTAAACTCTCTGCACGAGCGCCAGCCAAGGCATTGGCCTATACACATACAGCACAGCAATGAAGTAATAAAATGAACTGGATCACACTAATCCAGCACGTTATTATTCTGAGTTGCCGCACTCAAGCGGCGGCCATATTGAGTGGGGCACGGGAGATTAATAACGTGCTGGATTAGTGTGATCCTAGTTCATTTTATTACTTCATTGCTGTGATGTATGTGTATAGGCCAATGTAGTTGGATCTGTATGTGCATAATTAATCAAAATTGATCGATTAAAAAAAAATTTGATTAATCGAACACGAAAATTTTAATCATTACCAGCCCTATTAACAATCACTTATAAAGCCATCTACAACTCTGCCCCCGGCTATATCTCAAACCTGGTCTCAAAGTATCACTCTAACCGTCCCCTCCGCTCTTCCAAAGACCTCCTGCTTTCCAGCTCCCTCATCAACTCCTCCCATGCGCGCCTCCAGGACTTTTCTAGAGACTCCCCAATCCTCTGGAACTCTTTACCCCAACCTGTCCATTTATTTCCCACTCTGACCGACTTTAGGCGATCCCTTAAGACTCATCTCTTCAGGGAGGCCTATCCCACCTCAACCTAACCGCTCAACCATCACGTTCTCAAACAATTCATCCGCACACAGCTACCGCCTCATGTATCACTTGCCCCTCCCTTTTAGATTGTAAGCCCTCACAGGCAGGGCCATCCTTACCATCTTGTCTTGAATTGTATTGCAATTGTAATGTCTTTCTTATATTGTAAAGCGCTGCACAAACTCTTGGCGCTATATAAATCCTGTACAATAATAATTTGCATAGCATAAGCTAAATTCTTTTTAAAATGCTTCTTGAAGTGTAACCACTTTCTGTATGGCCTTTGTAACTAAACGGCCCGGACGGTGGTGCCGCCCGATCACTTGTATGATGTCTGCATGTGTGCTATGTAATGGCAATACAGTGTAAAAGAAAAAAAAGAGGTTTAAAAGGAAAAAAAAAACCCGCAAAAAAGAATGGTTTTAATTCCCCTGTCCCACATACACACACATGCAAGCGCAAACATGCATCAGGAGGGCCTACATGTGAAGACAACAATTGCACCGCGAGCATGAGCTATTTTAGGGAGCTCAATCCCTGATGACACTAAACTGATGAGTGATAAAAGCTTTAAGAGCGTTGCCTACGCCAATATTGAGTATGGTAGTTTTTTGCAGGCACATGCAATTTTAAGGCTTGACATGTTTGGTGTCTATTTACTCAATGTGACCCCGTCTTTTATAGTTTACCAAAAAATTGGGTAATAATAAATGTTTCATAACATAAAACATAGCGAAAACAGGCTTTAGTTTTTTCCAAATGTTTGCTACTTTTTTCTTTATATAGTAAACACAAAAATAAATGTGGTGATTCCACCAAAAGAGAGCTCTATGCATCTAAAAAAATGATATAAAAATGGCCTGCACAAGAAGGGGGTTTAACACCTTGGTCTCCAAGTAGTTAAATTGCTTTTACTTGGGATAGGGTTTTCATTTCTTCTTGCTTCTATTTCTTTGAAATCTTAGGAGGGGCTGTAATGGGTGAGGGGTCAAAGGTGGCTTGGCCATTGCATATTAATGAAGCTCATCAGATAAACACAATCCTCACAGTTCAGTCCCAAGTCTTTCCTTTAGGACAGACCCCTGTGAGAGGGCTAAGAAAAACCTGGAATCAGACATTTTGCATGACTTAACGAAACATCTAAAAAGTGAAAAACTAAATTTCAAAAACAAACATTGTTATAGCATGTTGAGAGAGGGCAGACACTGAAACACAAAACAAGAAAATTTGGTCCATAAGATATAAAGAGCCAGTGAATAAATCAAAAATTCATCTTAGGTTGGGTTCATACGATTAATGCACCCTAACCTCTGAGCCAGCAGTGTACCATCCTCCAGCCTGTCTCCTCCTCTGCTGCAAGGATGGACTGTCCCTCAGCGTCCTCACGTCCTGTACACTGTATTGGACGTGATAACTCGAGGACTCCTACACTGCTGCAGCAGAGGGGGAGAAGAGCTAAAGGGACCGGTCTAAGAGCCGGCTTGCTCAGGTGTAATCACTTGAAGATGTTTACACCCTCTTCCTGGCCAGGTCATTCTTCACTGTTCAGCGCTGCAGTACTTTGACTGACATTTATTCTGTCATGTAATGCTTTACTGAAATGACTTTTAGACCATTTTTTGGGAACAGATAAAGCTTTCTTTTGGTGGTATTTAATCACCACAGGGGGTTTTATTTTTCACTATATAAACACAAAACCTTTGGGGAAAAAAAAAAAAACTGTTTTCCCTAAATTATAACCCAATGTTTTAGTAAAGCATAAAAAAATGGGGTCACGGCGGGTAAATAAACACCAAACATGTCAAGCCTTAAAAATTGTGCGCCACCGCGAAATCACAAAAAACTGCCATACCCAAAATTCCCCATAGGCGGCGTTTAAAAGCCTTTACCGCTCATCAGTTTACTGTTAACAGTGATTAAGGGCCCTAAAATGATTGCTCTCACTCTGATGTTCGCGGTAATATTGAACATCAGCGGCGCAATCGTTGTTTTCACATGTAGACGCACCAGACGCGTATTTACATTTATATTACACTACACTTCATTTTATTGCCATCACATAGGGGCTAACAAGCTCCCTATGCGATAGCACACATAAAGTGACAGGTCTTCTTTGTGGAGACATTAGGGGTCTCCAAGACCCCTAATGTCACCAGCGGACCCCCAAAAAAGCTGATGAAGCAGAAATCTTCTTCACCAGCTTCTTCTCTGGCTACAGCAGCCAGAGAAATGACAGCTAAAGGCGGACGTGATGTAATACACATCACTTCTCTCCTCCAATGCTTGCAGGCAGAACAGCCAGAGAGATCTCTCATCCATTTAGTGTCAGCAGCCGCTGTGCCGGTCCCAGACCCCTAAGGGGTGACAGCGGAGCCCGGCATAACCGGCAGCGCAGGGGAGGAGCACGACAGCAGAGGAAGCGCATTAGTATGCAAGCGATCGGGCGGCTATAGAGCCACCCGAACGCTTGTATGAAACAGCTGGTACGGGCTGTTTACATTTACTGTGGGATTCTGTGCACACGAGCAGACAAAAAAAAAGGGAAAAAAGAAGACGTACAGTAACGTATACCCACTGACAGAAGGTTGCCGTCCTTTACAATGGGCGGAAGCCAAGCGGTTAAGAATGAATGACAACACCACAGTGCACCAACATGCAGTTTTTTTATGCATTACTATTGTGAACCCAGACATGTGTAAATACAATAACATTGGTACGCCTTTTGAGATCTAGACATGCGGAAAGCCACAGCGTGCCCAGTTACCTTGGCTTTTACGCATGTATAGATGTGTTGGGTTTTGCAATTTGACTTTGATTTTACAGGGCTCCTCATGGCACACAGAATTAAGAGGAAAATTCACGTATGTCAATGAATGGCAAATAGAAGGAATTTTACTTCTACCTTTGTTCACCATAAATGCAAAAACTGTTAGGTAATACCTACCTCTACCCTGTTACAAACAGTCTACATTAGAATGTATATGAAGTCAAAACTTTTTTTTTGTTTTTTTGAGCTTTAGTACACTGTTGAACGGTAAGCACCTCTGTTGGGTTTTTATTGCTGTCTATGGCCTCGCTGAGGAGATTTACCCTCATTTAGAGATTGACTATTGTCTCCAACACAAAAAGTCATGTCAAATCTAACATTTCTGAGTTGTAACAGGAATAGGTGTTGAGGGGAAATCTTCCAATGGGGACATCTGTCTTAAAGGAGACATGCCTTCACATTGAAGAGATTTCCTCTTATTTCCCACTGTGACTAGAAGGGAAGGAAAATTTACACAAGACATACAGGGTTATTCACAAAGCTGCCAAAGGCAGCGGAGTGCATAACCGAGCTTAAGTGAAGTGAGCCGAACGCTGTTCGGCTATTCATTTCAGCATTGTACGGCTGATTTCAGCCATACATCGGCTGCCTTCGGTCAGCCGAACATACTCTGCATGTTCGGCTGAGCTGAAATGCAGAAGGACTTCGATTCAGCCGATCCAACATCTGGATCAGCTCTGGCAGCACACTTGGTGCCATTCGCCCCTATTCACATAGGGGATGAACGGCAGTGAGTGAATAGCCGAATGCCGCCGAGCAGCATTCAGCTCGGCTATTCTGCTCGGTACTTTTGTGGTACCAAGCAGAATAGAAAATAGTGAAAATAGTAGAAGAAAAAAAAAAAAAGGTTATAAAAATATTTTTTAAATGTAAACAGTGAAATAAAAAAATAAAAATTTTTTTAAATGGGCGAGGCTAGCAGTGAGCTAGCTCCGCCCAACTGTTTCCTATTGGCCGGGACCTGCTAGAGTCTTCTAGCAGGTCGCGGCAAATGAAAAACTGGGTGGAACCGGCCGTGACGTCACAGCCGCCTTTGCCCAGTTGTTATTTAATGACAGATCAGCGTCCCCAGGTAATTTGGGGACACTGATATGTCATTATAAAAGGTCGGAGCCATCCATGAGATCACAGCTGGCTCCACCCAGCTGTCATTTGTGGGGAGAGCAGGCCTCTCGCCCAGCCTCAGCTGTCGCCTTCGGCTGCTGTACGGGCTATAGTGAATAAACCGTAGAGCAGCCCTTCGGTTTGACTGAACTTAAGGGCTCCGGCGACCGAAGAGAGCCGAAGCTACGGCTGCATCATTGAGCTCCTTTGTTAATATCCCCCATAGACAGAAAAAAAAAGCTCGACCTAACCATTTCCTACTATATCCAAAAGAGAAAAGAAAAAAAAAAGAAGAGGTTTTGGCTTTACAAATATTTTGATGGCTTTAATCACACCATAAAAAAAAAGTACACAATAAGAGTAATTATTTGTTTTAAAAAATTCAGTTTTTTGAAGGATCCCCTTTTAATTGCAACCGCAACGTACTGTTGGTTGTGGGTCCCACTGAAAATGACCAATTCTGTAAACTCCATGCATTCTGGTAAATGTTTTAGTGCAAGCAAAATACTTCGACATGACCAAATCCACGGTTTTCAATAATAAGACCCATTCCCATCAACACATCTAATGTGAAAATGTGATAAGCAGTACCAGTTCAACAGATAATCAGGTTGAAAAATTACCCACCGGCAACACAAATCTATCTATATAGTAAGCCAAGAGTGTCAAAGGTTTAAATACCTAATAAGTAACAGATCCATACATTAATAGCATCTATAAATCTTGCCTTAGAATAAGGAGATATGAAGCTTGTAATGCACACAAGGCCAGCATCGGCAAAGAGCTTGGCAACTTCAGCAATACGGCGGATATTTTCTTCTCTGTCTTCTTGAGAAAAGCCAAGATTTTTATTGAGCCCTTGACGAATGTTGTCGCCATCTAATGTATAGCATGGGATACCGTGGCACACTAAATATTCCTCCAGTGCCATGCTTACTGTGGTCTTTCCAGCACCAGACAGGCCTAAAAGAACAAAAAGAATGCAATCGTTCGTACATTTCATTTAGTATTCATTTGTTGACAATTTACAAACATTTAAGCAGAGTCTCAATGGATGTCATCTAGCTAAAACAAGTCTGCCAGATCTTTTTTATACACAAACAAGCAAGGTAAGCTCAGTAAAATGTATGTTATAATAGTATTTCTTAAACATCCACACTTGGTCAATAAAGTCATGGAGATTAATAAATGAATATTGTCATGTTCTAATTATTCAATGCCCATAATCAATCCTACTCTGCCTTCTTGACCAGTGCTGCCAGGACAGGTATTTTCCCATTCCACAATGCCTGGCTTCCGCTATCCTTGCTCTATGTCTCCGGTCATTAGTCAGCTTCAGCGTTGCCTACCTTACTATACCAACAACTGTACATAGCAGTTCTAAAACTGAACAGCAAAAGTCAAAGAAAAGGTCATAACGAAGTATTCTTAAATACTTTATTTTTACGGTATATAGGTCACAATAGAACTATAAGCATTTATATCATATGAACTGTAAAAGTATTATACACTATATCAGGCATCAGCAAATTCCACAAAATGCTAAAAACCAGGTTTGAAACTATGGAAGCAGATATTCTGTGAGCAGTGTAGACATTTTGTGAGTTTATCCATGTTTGTAAATAACACTGTGCATTGCATCTAGCAAGACATTGCTTGGCCCATGACACCTTAAAAAATGTTCCACTCATTCAGTCTTATTCAAACAGAAATTTAAAAAGGTTGTAGATGTAGTAACTGAACACTATTACTCTGAGTGCCTAGTATGCAGGTGTACACTACTGTAACTAAGGATCTTACTCTGTAATAATATTACTCTTTAACCAAAGTGCCTGGTTACTGACACCTTAGAAAATATACCTCCTAATGCTTAGCAAATCCACCTCATTCAAGGACATGTTTCTGATGTTGGTGATCAAAAGGGACTCTACTGGATACAACACTGCCCAAAATGTAACATCCATCACCCCGACTTCATACACTTGATTTGGTCATGCACACTGATACATACGTTATGGACACAAGTAGTGCAATATATGAACTCCCTGTCAGGCATATCGCGTGACCCTCAACCTCTGCTATGCTTACTACTCGATACACCCCAGGGACCTGACTCTATACACCCCCACATCACGCGCTGGGAACATCTTTGCATGTTAGCATCTAAGAAAACCATTCTCACCAACTGCTTCTTCCAAAAAACCCCACGACAAGTGACTTACAAGCCACCCTTCATAAACTTATGCTCCTTGACAAAGCTGACACTCACAAGGAAGAGAGGTGCATAACCCGTTTCTTCTCCACATGGCCCCCCTTCCTCACGGCGAACCTCACCCCCGACCAACTTCGTACTATCATGTCTGACTTCCAGACCTCCACATGGTATCTCACGGCCAAACTCTCAAATTCCCTGGGGGGATTAGATGTACTCTAGCCGTCCCTAGCGGGACCCCCAAGAAACCAGAAAGGTAATAAACTTCCATGATATCCTCCTGCCCGCCTGCCTTAATTTTCGAATATCTCCTTGGCATACTTAAAGGATACCCCTTGACGTTTGACCTGTCCCTCAATAATAAGGTAGACTCCGACTGCTGACGTACCTGCTACTGATGGTTCTAGCAATGTTAATGGACATGTTTGTTCTTACTCTATGCAGTGTTGATGTATTTTTCTTGTTATGTTCTGTTAATAGGATGTAAATTGTATGTTTACATTTGTAACCGTGGATTTAGACAAGGATTAAGCATGTTCACCGGATATGATATTCCATATATGGCTGAACGATCTGACACTATGTACCAATCCGGGTGATTAACTTGTACTTCCAGCAATGTGGGAATGTA